TCCGAGTTTGGACACGCTTCGGGTTTGTTCCTTTTTAATTTTTCATATCGTTCCTGCGTCCGTTCTGCACCACAACAGTCCTGTGTAATTCCTAATTGTAAAACATTTATTGCGATAACGCGGCAGAAGACACGGATCATGCAATATTCACACACAAACCAAGCGGCCACTTCACCCCTGGCACGGCGCACCGCGGGCGCCAGATCTGGGCTGGCGTTCAAATATTTATAGCGGCTCGCATTTGCATGGAAACAAAAGGTTATTGAGGCAGCGTGGGCGCGTCGTAAATGATCCTGGAGGAACTTCCAACGCGCTCAAACCTAATGCTAACCTGCTGCGGGAGAAAAATGATGCAATATTCTCCCAGCTCCAGGCGCGCCGCTCTGCACCAGACCATTCCATGCTACATTAACTGTGCCATTTATGCAGCTCGTGTAAGAAATAAAACCTGGAAGCAGCGGGAGGAGAGGGCGTGCTCCACATATGCACATTTGGCCGCATTTCTGCCCGGAGACTGAATCGGGATTGATAATTTGGACGCACTTTACGGAGCAAACATGAGAATTATCAGAGGAAATGTGTGAGATGTGTTTTAGTGAAAGGGATTTTTACATTTTTGAATCGTGTTGAACCAAAATCATGTATTTGGAAGTGTTTGGAATACTGGTAATTTAAACTAGCAGATACATGTGAAAAGATAGCATGGGTTTAATACAAACATTTACAGAATGGTAACTGTGACTGACTGTGGCTGAGACTGAGTCTGAGGCTGAGACTGAGGCTGAGGCTGAGGCTGAGGCTGAGGCTGAGACTGTGACTGAGACTGAGACTGAGACTGAGGCTGTGTCTGAGACTGTGACTGAGACTGAGTCTGAGGCTGAGACTGAGACTGAGACTGAGGCTGTGTCTGAGACTGTGACTGAGACTGAGACTGAGGCTGAGACTGAGACTGTGACTGAGACTGAGACTGAGACTGAGGCTGTGTCTGAGACTGTGACTGAGACTGAGACTGAGACTGAGGCTGAGGCTGAGGTTGAGACTGAGACTGAGACTGAGACTGAGACTGAGACTGTGACTGTGACTGTGACTGTGACTAAGACTGAGACTGTGACTGTGACTGAGACTGAGACTGAGACTGAGACTGTGACTGTGACTGAGGCTGAGACTGAGACTGAGACTGAGACTGTGACTGTGACTGAGACTGTGACTAAGACTGAGACTGAGGCTGAGACTGAGACTGAGACTGAGGCTGAGACTGAGACTGAGGCTGTGTCTGAGACTGTGTCTGAGACTGTGACTGAGACTGAGACTGAGACTGAGGCTGAGGCTGAGGTTGAGACTGAGACTGAGACTGAGACTGAGACTGAGACTGAGACTGTGAGTGAGGCTGAGGCTGAGACTGAGGCTGTGTCTGAGACTGAGGCTGAGACTGTGTCTGAGACTGAGACTGAGACTGTGTCTGAGACTGTGTCTGAGACTGTGACTGAGACTGAGACTGAGACTGAGGCTGAGGCTGAGGTTGAGACTGAGACTGAGACTGAGACTGAGACTGAGATTGAGACTGAGACTGAGACTGAGACTGAGACTGAGGCTGTGTCTGAGACTGTGACTGAGACTGAGACTGAGACTGAGGCTGAGACTGAGACTGAGGCTGAGGTTGAGTCTGAGGCTGAGGCTGAGGCTGAGACTGAGACTGAGGCTGAGCCTGAGGTTGAGACTGAGGCTGAGACTGAGGCTGAGGCTGAGACTGAGTCTGAGGTTGAGACTGAGACTGAGACTGAGACTGAGACTGAGGCTGAGGCTGAGACTGAGACTGAGGCTGAGGCTGAGTCTGAGGTTGAGACTGAGGCTGAGACTGAGACTGAGACTGAGACTGAGACTGAGGCTGAGGCTGAGGTTGAGACTGAGGCTGAGACTGAGGCTGAGGCTGAGTCTGAGGTTGAGGCTGAGGCTGAGGCTGAGACTGAGGCTGAGGCTGAGTCTGAGGTTGAGACTGAGACTGAGACTGAGACTGAGACTGAGGCTGAGGCTGAGGCTGAGGCTGAGGCTGAGGCTGAGACTGAGGCTGAGGCTGAGGCTGAGGCTGAGACTGAGACTGAGGCTGAGTCTGAGGTTGAGACTGAGACTGAGACTGAGTCTGAGGCTGAGGCTGAGGCTGAGACTGAGACTGAGACTGAGGCTGAGGCTGAGGCTGAGGCTGAGACTGAGGCTGAGTCTGAGGTTGAGACTGAGACTGAGACTGAGACTGAGGCTGAGGCTGAGGCTGAGACTGAGACTGAGGCTGAGACTGAGACTGAGACTGTGGCTGAGGCTGAGGCTGAGACTGAGACTGAGGCTGAGGCTGAGGCTGAGGCTGAGGCTGAAACTGAGGCTGAGTCTGAGGCTGAGGCTGAGGCTGAGGCTGAGACTGAGACTGAGGCTGAGACTGAGACTGAGACTGAGGCTGAGGCTGAGGCTGAGGCTGAGACTGAGACTGAGGCTGAGACTGAGACTGAGGCTGAGACTGAGGCTGAGACTGAGACTGAGGCTGAGGCTGAGGCTGAGGCTGAGACTGAGACTGAGGCTGAGACTGAGGTTGAGACTGAGACTGAGACTGTGGCTGAGGCTGAGACTGAGACTGAGGCTGAGACTGAGACTGAGGCTGAGTCTGAGGCTGAGGCTGAGGCTGAGGCTGAGACTGAGACTGAGTCTGAGGTTGAGACTGAGACTGAGACTGAGGCTGAGTCTGAGACTGAGGCTGAGGCTGAGACTGAGACTGAGGCTGAGTCTGAGACTGAGACTGAGGCTGAGACTGAGTCTGAGGTTGAGACTGAGACTGAGTCTGAGGTTGAGACTGAGACTGAGACTGAGGCTGAGTCTGAGACTGAGGCTGAGGCTGAGGCTGAGGCTGAGACTGAGACTGAGATTGAGGCTGAGGCTGAGGCTGAGGCTGAGGCTGAGGCTGAGGCTGAGGTTGAGATTGAGACTGAGACTGAGACTGAGACTGAGGCTGAGGCTGAGGCTGAGACTGAGACTGAGACTGAGACTGAGGCTGTGACTGAGGCTGAGGCTGAGGCTGAGGCTGAGTCTGAGGTTGAGACTGAGACTGAGACTGAGACTGAGACTGAGGCTGAGACTGAGGCTGAGGCTGAGGCTGAGACTGAGACTGAGACTGAGGCTGAGACTGAGGTTGAGACTGAGACTGAGACTGTCGCTGAGGCTGAGACTGAGGCTGAGACTGAGACTGAGGCTGAGACTGAGACTGAGACTGAGGCTGAGGCTGAGACTGAGGCTGAGGCTGAGGCTGAGTCTGAGGTTGAGACTGAGACTGAGACTGAGGCTGAGGCTGAGTCTGAGGTTGAGACTGAGACTGAGGCTGAGTCTGAGGTTGAGACTGAGACTGAGGCTGAGGCTGAGGCTGAGGCTGAGGCTGAGGCTGAGACTGAGGCTGAGTCTGAGGTTGAGACTGAGACTGAGGCTGAGGCTGAGGCTGAGGCTGAGACTGAGGCTGAGGCTGAGTCTGAGGTTGAGACTGAGGCTGAGTCTGAGGTTGAGACTGAGACTGAGACTGAGGCTGAGGCTGAGGTTGAGACTGAGACTGAGACTGTGGCTGAGGCTGAGGCTGAGGCTGAGGCTGAGGCTGAGGCTGAGACTGAGACTGAGGCTGAGTCTGAGGTTGAGACTGAGACTGAGACTGAGACTGAGACTGAGGCTGAGGCTGAGGCTGAGGCTGAGACTGAGACTGAGGCTGAGGCTGAGGCTGAGACTGAGGCTGAGGCTGAGTCTGAGGTTGAGACTGAGGCTGAGACTGAGGTTGAGACTGAGACTGAGACTGAGGCTGAGGCTGAGGCTGAGGTTGAGACTGAGGCTGAGACTGAGGTTGAGACTGAGACTGAGACTGAGGCTGAGACTGAGGCTGAGTCTGAGGTTGAGACTGAGACTGAGACTGAGACTGAGACTGAGGCTGAGGCTGAGGCTGAGGCTGAGACTGAGACTGAGGCTGAGGCTGAGTCTGAGGTTGAGACTGAGGCTGAGACTGAGGTTGAGACTGAGACTGAGACTGTGGCTGAGGCTGGATTAAAATGGCATCAGACAACAGTGAAAGCAGTAGAGTTAAAGATAAACATCTGCAACTTTAGAATAAAATAGAACCAAGAATTGAGTAAAAAAAATAATAATCTAAATTTAGCTCAATTAAAGGAGCAGTGTGTAAAAATGTGGCCAAGAGTGGTACTGCCCATGGTCTATTTTCATTAGCATTAGCATTAGCATCACGAGGCTCTGGGACACAGTGACACACATGGTTCTGTACGACACCAGTGAAAACCTCCCACAGCGTGTCTGTAAAGCCCTTCATGGTTCACACAGGAGTAAGCACGCGTGTCCTGGATCACACGGACTCTCGGGTGATGAATGTCCGCTGTATAGACTCCTCGTCCCGGAATCAATAGTCCTCAAATTGAAACAGTATAAGCCGCCATCGATCGGCCGCCTTCACGGCTCGGCCCAGACAGCCCCCGCCCCGTAATGACACACTATCAATTTTCACTTTGCGCTGATAAATCAAGTTGAAAATTGGATGTCAGACTCTCTCCCAGGGATGAGGGGGTGATTCTCCCTGACCCCCAGGACCCCTGACCCCCCCACGCTGGATTATAAAGTTCAGCTTTGTCACCGTCTCCGGCTCACGGCGAGGCCCGGCGCTAAATGTCACAGAGCTGAGGGTGAGGGAGGAGCATGATTTTAAAAGCTATAGATAGTGTGACACATTAGACTGCGACAATCGTTTAGATGAAGAGATGCTTTATTGGTCCCACAGCGAGGAAATGTCAGTGTTGCATCGTTACAGGACAGAAGGAATGGGGAGAACACAGCACAAGGTGAAGGAGCAATGTCCATCCATCCATTTTCTTCCCCTTAATCCATTTCTGGGTTGGGGGGGTGGCAGTCAGAGCCAGTACACAGAGCACCAGCCCCTCACTGATCCTCCTGCAGGTGCTGAGTCCACAGGAGCTTTGATCTTTCAGTGGGGGCTTCAGGCAAAGTGTCTTGCCCAAGGACACAACAACAGCAGTCATCAGTGGGAACAATAACTAAAATTAAATAAAATCTCTAGCTTTAGCAAAATAATAGTAGTAGTAATAATAGTTAAAACTTAAATTAAAATGTTTCCTCATCTTTGGTGACATCACAGGTGGAGGTATTTCATTGTATGTTTTGATTTTTTTTTAAACTTATTTCTATTTCTACATTTTCAGACCACAACATAGATTGTATATTTGTGTAATGCACAGTGTGAATGATTGAACAGGTTTTTGTAAATGTCATTTTTCTTTCTCAAAACACGGTGGTGAGAAACTACGACTGTAGCCACAGCTGCCCTGGGGCCCACTGACAGAAACGAGGCAACCAGTCTGTGCCATCAGCCCCTCCCACCACCGCCAACCGCTCACACACACACCAGACTCATTCTGATGCGGGGGAAGTGTCTTGCCTAAGGATACAACCACAGTTTGGCACTTCACAGCCGCCCCACTGTGGCACCTGCTGTTCCCAGAGTTCTCCCATCACAGCACTAACCAGGCCCTGCCCTGCTGAGCTTCTGAGGTCTACTACGGTAAGGCTTATACCTGCAGGGGGCGCCACGATATCAAGAGGGCGCACACGGATTTGCATGGAACAGAGTGAGTGACAGATTGACGGAGAAGTTCATAATTGCTCCGACACCTCATTTGCTTTCATTCATCCCGTGCTAATTGTTCTTCCGCGACCAGCCTTTTGTTCTGCGCGGGCCCCTGACAGCTGACGGAGGGGCCCCGCACACACCGGCCCCTCACCTGACCGCGCTATCGATCTGCAACATTCCTCGTGTATAATTACTTTTTTGGTTGTGCGCTGAGTATCGACCCGGCGTTTCCCATCGGCTAACGGGAGGTCGCATCTCTCACGCCTGACGGATGCTGAGAGGCCGTGGCGGGATAATAACATTTGCCGCGGTTATAAAAGGGTGATCCGTCCTGGTCGCGGAGGCAGGAGAGGCTGAGGGCCCCCAGCAGGTCCCACACAGAGGCCAAGGTCCCCGGCCTCAGCGTCACGGATGAAGGATGTGTTGTGGTGGATTTGGTGGATTGCTTCTCAAAACATCAGCTACGCAGGCGGTAAATCATTATTCCTTCAGAAGATATAACCAGACATGCTGTAGGTGCCACGGCTGCTGTTCAAAAACATAATTCAAATATTAGTGAAAAATCATGACATTCAAATGAATTTAAGACAGACTTTAATATTCAAATTTAGTCACAGAGTCAGTGTGTGTGTGTGTGTGTGTGTGTTTGTAGTATACGTGTGTAAGTAATCCATGTGTGTGTGTAGTGTAACTGTATGTGTGTGTGTGTAAGTAATGTAATGTTTATTTATATAGCGCATTTTACAGACCAAGGTCACCCAAAGCGCTTTACAATGTTCAGAGTTTGACGGAAGCGAGTCCAGAACACACTGGACCATCAGCTCCAACACCATCCATTCACTCTCTCATTTACATTCATACCTATTGTGCATGTTTTTAGTGGTAGGGGAAACCGGAGCACCCGGAGGTAACCTACTCAGACATGGGGAGAACATGCAAACTCCACTCAGAAATTCGACCGGGATTCGAATCCAGGACCTTCTTGCTGAGATGCGAGAGTCCTAACCACTCAGCCACCGTGTGTGTGTGTGTGTGTGTGTGTGTGTGTAGTGCATGTGTGTGTATGCAGTGTATGTGTGTGTAGTTGATCAGGCAGCACACACAGTGGTCTGTCCTTGTCTGTCTCTGTCTCTGGGACACAAACCCGGGTGTGTGTCTGTGAATGCAGCGCTCAGGGATGATGATGATGATGAAGAGTCTGGACTGAGAGCGCTTCAGACCAGTCCAGGGTTATTGAATTATGGAGCCGTGTCCTTCCTCTGACCACGGGCAGGACACAGGAAGTGGAACTGCAGCTGTCGCCTCCAAACAGACTCTGTGCGACATCACAGCGAAGACATGAGCTCCTCCTGCTTTTTAGAAACGACTGCAAATAGATTTAAAGTAACAATATGTCAGATTTTCATGTCGAACTCATGAACTCACCGCTTGGAGCTAATCTCACTGGTAAAGTACCATGTGGCGCAGAACTAAAAAAGGTCTTGTTATGATTCTCAAATCATTAACAACAAAATCGTTGTGAAAAAGGTGTTGGTTATAGATTTTTTGTTGACAGAACTCTTCTCAGATATTATTATATTCAGTTTCTCAGTTGGTAGAGCAATGACCTTTGAGCCTGAAGGTTGTGGGTTTGAGCCCACCGCGAGACCTGCTCCTCCGACTCCCACTGATGTCTACTGTTGTTGCGTCCATGGGCAAGACACTTTACCCACTTCGCCCATAAGGAGCGCGGAAGCAATATTCGCTGCTTACCTGGATGTTTATATGTGTATTCATCAAACTGAAATTTCCCCACTGTGGGACGAATAAAGGGCCTTCTTCTTCTTCTTGATAATAATAATAATACATCTTTATTTTTAAAGCAGTTTTCAAAAACAATGTTTACAAAGTGCTGCACAGTCAGCATAATGAACAATAAATCAGTCATAATACAAAGTTAAAACAATGAGATAGAATACAAGAGGACAAGACAAACAGAGGAAACACAAGAACACAAAACAAAGACAGGACAGACCGTAAAATACGACATTATACGTTTATAAGCTGACAATTAAAAGATGTTCGATAAAAGTGGGTTTTAAGCCTTATCTCCTCGGGCAGGTGGTTCCAAAGCAGAGGAGCCCGGACAGAGAAGGCTCGGTCACCTTTCGTCCGGAGCCTCGACCTTGGAACGGTCAACAGGGACCTGCCCGAGGATCTAAGGCTGCGGGGGGGCTCGTAGGGGGTTAAAAGTTCAGAAATATAGCTGGGTGCCAGACCTAAACGAGCTTTAAAAGTAATCAGTAAAATTCTAAAACGCACAGGGAGCCGGTGGAGGGACGCTGAGACAGGAGTGATGTGCTCCCTTCTGTTAAAACCAATGAGAGGTCTGTCTGCTGCGTTCTGGACCAGTTGGAGGCGGGAGAGGGATTTAGCGGCGAGACCGGAGAGGAGGGCGTTACAGTAGTCGAGGCGGGAGAAGATGAGGGCGTTGACGACTTTATGGAGATCGGGAGGAGTGTGAATGTTTTTAATTTTTCAGATGGTGCGGAGGTGAAAGAAGCAGGTTTGGGTGGTTTTATTGATGTGGGAGCGGAAGGTGAGGTAATCACTGTCATTTATGATATAATATATATTCAACTGTAAGTAATGGTTATTTATATAGCACTTGTTACAGACCAAGGTACAGACCAAAGCACTTCACAATGTTCAGAGTCAGATATTGTTCCAGTCATTCCACACACGGTGATGACAGAAGCGAGTCCAGAACACACTGGACCATCAGCTCCAACACCATCCATTCACTCTCTCATCTACATTCATACCTATTGTGGATGTTTTTAGTGGCAGGGGAAACTGGAGCACCCGGAGGAAACCTACACAGACACGGGGAGAACATGCAAACTCCACTCAGAAAGATATTTCTTTCTATGATTTGTGTTATTATTGTTGTCGTCTCTACTGGACTTGTCATCAGTGCAATCTTGAGGAGGCTTATTCTCCAAACAAAGTAAATATATAATTAAACGACATAGATAATAGAACGTACAGTAGAGTATAGTAAATGTACCCCCCCCCTCCCCGCCAGCCCCCCCCCCCCTGTGGAGCGAGCCGTGAACTGCAGACCTCGCCACGATCTCCTGCTCCTTTGACTGTTGCCCACGGTCTATTTTCAGGCTTAACTACTACTTAATATAGAAAACAGAGTGTCTAAATGTGACTCCAGCTGTTTCCATCGGCAACAAAGTGATATTTGGGTCCTGAAGCGGCAGGGTAGACCCACGTGATCAAAGCGTGGCGTGGCAGCTGTCTCCACTCTCACCTCTCTCATGTCTGTAGCTACAGCCGTCTGTCTGTGCCGTGCTCCTTCTCCTCCTCTTCTTCTTCTCTTTTTCTCTCTGCAGCTCAAACCTCCTGTCAGCTCTGGCTCTGGCAGTCCCCACAGACCTGAGCTTTAGAAGTGCAAACCCACAAACCTCCTCTCCCCCGCCGCACGCTCTTAAAATACTGGAAAAATCTGCCAAATAACAAAAGACTACTTCCACTTAGCATCTGGTAACTGCTCCATAAATAATGGTCTTATCAGTGGAGGAAAATGAGCTTTGAGAATGCGTTCGGGCTCCATTGTGGTGATGGATGGACGCTGAGGGCCATAAATTGTGCGTGGTGCGAGTGGGTCGTTCTTCAAGGTGTCACGGCGCCGGCGGTTTGATGGAGAGGCCGCGGGCGGGTAATGGAGAGCGTTATGGGACGGACAAGTGGCGGCTGGAGCAGAGGCTACTCACACACGACTGCTGTGTTGTTGTTGTCGATCAGAGGTGTAGCTGTGGTTAGAGGAATCTCCCGAATGTGCGTCTGTATTTATCTGTGCCGTAAATATTATCCCTATTCAATTCAATGTATTCCTGTATAGACTTTAATCACAACAGTAGTTTTCTGAGAGGACTTTACAAAACCGTTGAATTTGCCAACACAGATCAGAGAATCAAACAAGAAATGCAATGACACAGAACACATAGAGCCATTGGTACATAAGGAGTAAATAAATAAGAAAGTAATGTTAATTATATAGCGCATTTGAGCAGTGTCACCCAATCACTCCACACCCATTGATGACGGAGACGCCGAACACACTGGTCCATCAAAGCCTCCGACCAAACATCATCCATTCACTATCTCATTCACATTCATACCCATTGTACATGTTTTTAGTGGTAGGGGAAACCGGAGCATCTGGAGAAAACCTACACAGACATGGTGAGAACACGCAAACTCCACCCAGAAAGGCCCTGTTCCAACCGGGGCTCAAACCCATGACCTTCTTGCTGAGAAGCGAGAGCATAGATAGATAGATAGATACTTTATTGATTCTTGTAGGAGAAATTCAGGTGTCCAGTAGCAGCAAAAATAATAAAACTGCCCATTTTATTAAGCTAACTCTAGTAATACAAGCGGATACAAGCGGTCGAAATGAGCTTCCTCCGCAGAGTGGCTGCTCCCTTAGAGATAGGGTGAGGAGCTCAGTCACACGGGAGGAGCTCGGAGTAGAGCCGCTGCTACTCCACGTCAAGAGGAACCAGTTGAGGTGGCTCGGGCATCTGTTCCGGATGCCTCCTGGACGCCTCCCTGGGGAGGTGTTCCGGGCACGTCCCACCGGGAGGAGGCCCCGGGGAAGACCCAGGACACGCTGGAGGGACTATGTCTCTCAGCTGGCCTGGGAACGCCTTGGGGTCCCCCCGGACGAGCTGGAGGAGGTGTGTGTGGATAGGGAAGTCTGGGCGTCCCTGCTTAGACTGCTGCTCCCGCGACCCGGCAACGGATGAAGCGGAAGAAAATGGATGGATGGATGGATAGTAATAACAGATAAATCAGCCACCATGTTACCCATAAGAACCAGCGACAAGTGTGGTATGTCGAGTGTCAAAATACTTACGAAACATTTTAAATGAACTAGACCGAATGAACCATGATCGAGAAGGCTATACCAAAGAAAGACTGTTTAACCTAAGTGTTTTTTCATACATGTCTAAATATCACGCAAGGGTCAATGTTCTTTAGCTTATGGTAGAAGTGATGTATTTAGATTTCGCACATACAGTATGTAGAAAAGCCGGATCTAACTACGGAGGTGCCCTAACCCTAACCCGGGGAGTTATGGCCCAGATTAAGTTCTGGTCCTGGATCATCATCACTGTCCTTAGACCCTCCTGCATCAGAAAGGAACAACTCAACAAAAACTCTATCCTCCAAAAATAACAATTGTGAACCGCTTTGTGACTCTGGTCTGTGAAAGGCGGTATATAAATAAACATTACTTACTGACTTACTTACTATACTTTGGATTTGCACGACTGGTTAGACGCTAAACTGCATTTTGTGTCATTCTGAAATTGTAATAATATCAAAGTTGTAGCAACAAATCTAAACCCATTTTCTGGTATTTTGTCGGGAAGACGATTTTTTATTTAGTCCCATCACAATTCCTCTAACAGTGATTCATGTCTTGAGCGATTTCTCTGATCTGATGTTGGTGAAGCGACAACTTTGTGAAGTCCTCTGAGACCACGGACTGCTGTGATTTAGGGCTTTAACAAAAGTACAGTGAACTGAGCCGGACAGACTTCCTTATAGCAGCAGGAGACAGTGATGGACGTGTGGAGGGTGTTGGACCAGAGGAGTCCGGTCTCCTGGGACAGAACACTGGCCTCTGCACGTCCGGGGCCTCGCGGGGAGACGGCTGCCATACTGGTTCACAATTCATAACAAAGTAGTTTTTCCTCTGAACAGGATATGATAAAGCTGAAAATACAATGGGGCAAAAAAGTATTTAGTCAGCCACCGATTGTGCAACTTCTCCCACTTAAAATGATGACAGAGGTTTGTAATTTTCATCATAGGTTCACTTCAACTGTGAGAGACAGAATGTGAAAAAAAAATCCAGGAATTCACATTGTAGGATTTTTAAAGAATGTATTTGTAAATGATGGTGGAAAATAAGTATTTGGTCAATAACAAAAATTCAACTCAATACTTTGTAATATAACCTTAGTTGGCAATAACAGGTCAAACAATTACTATAGGTCTTTACCAGGTTTGCACACACAGTAGCTGGTATTTTGGCGCATTCCTCCATGCAGATCTTCTCGAGAGCAGTGAACACGGACTTTCAACTCCCTCCACAGATTTTCACTGTGGTTGAGGTCTGGAGACTGGCTAGGCCACTCCAGGACTTTCAAATGCTTCTTACGGAGCCACTCCTTTGTTGCCCGGGCGGTGTGTTTGGGATCATTGTCATGCTGGAAGACCCAGCCACGTTTCATCTTCAAAGCTCTCACTGATGGAAGGAGGTTTTGGCTCAAAATCTCACGATACATGGCCCCATTCATTCTTTCCTTAACACGGATCAGTCCTCCTGTCCCCTTAGCAGAAAAACAGCCCCAAAGAATGACGTTTCCACCCCCATGCTTCACAGTAGGTATGCTGTTCTTGGGATGCAACTCAGTATTCTTCTTCTTCCAAACACGATGAGTTGAGTTTATACCAAACAGTTGTACTTTGGTTTCATCTGACCACATGACATTCTCCCAATCCTCTGCTGTATCATCCATGTGCTCTCTGGCAAACTTCAGACGGGCCTGGACATGCACTGGCTTCAGCAGGGGGACACGTCTGGCACTGCAGGATTTGATTCCCTGTCGTCGTAGTGTGTTACTGATGGTAACCTTTGTTACTTTGGTCCCAGCTCTCTGCAGGTCATTCACCAAGTCCCCCCGTGTGGTTCTGAGATTTTTGATCACCGTTCTAATGATCATTTTGACCCCACGGGATGAGATCTTGCGTGGAGCCCCAGATCGAGGGAGATTATCAGTGATCTTGTATGTCTTCCATTTTCTGATAATTGCTCCCACAGTTGATTTGTTCACACCAAGCTGCTTGCCTATTGTAGATTCACTCTTCCCAGTCTGGTGCAGGTCTACAATTCTTTTCCTGGTGTCTTTCGACAGCTCTTTGGTCTTGGCCATAGTGGAGTTTGGAGTCTGACTGTTTGAGGCTGTGGACAGGTGTCTTTTATACAGATGAGTTCAAACAGGTGCCATTAATACAGGAAACGAGTGGAGGACAGAAGAGCTTCTTAAAGAAGAAGTTACAGGTCTGTGAGAGCCAGAGATCTTCCTTGTTTGAAGTGACCAAATACTTATTTTCCACCATAATTTACAAATAAATTCTTTAAAAATCCTGCAATGTGAATTCATGGATTTTTTTCCACATTCTGTCGCTCACAGTTGAAGTGAACCTATGATGAACATTACAGACCTCTGTCATTATTTTAAGTGGGAGAACTTGCACAATCGGTGGCTGACTAAATACTTTTTTGCCCCACTGTATGTGTTCAGTTCATCTTCATCAATCAATAAATGCATCTAAATTTATCGAGCGCCACAAATCATCATATAAAACATGAATATCACCATTAAAAACACAATTAAATCACATCATTAAAACCATTAAAACAAGCAATTAAAATCACCATATCTAATCTTTTTAAAGAGACAGTGTACAGAGACCATGGCCCTCATTTGTGAAACTTGCACAGAAAAGGGTGTAAATTTCAGGTGTAGATTCCAAATACGAAAGATCCAACGTGGGATTTACGAACGCGTGAGATCCGCCCAGATCTGAGGTACGCACCTGCGGCTGTTGGTAAATGCAGCGCCTGAATTCCAACATATTTACGTATATATTAAGTCACGCCTATAAATATGCAGCAACCGCCTTTTTCACGCCTGTTATTGCGACAATTGAGAGGAAATGTACACCACCTCCAGACTTGTGAATATTCTGTGCGTACTGAGTTTCTATCTGCAGTCGCTGGTTACAGAGAAATAAATAATAATAAACAATATGAAAGTGCATCCATCTGTTCTCTACCGACCACAAAACTGCTAATTATAACCGCAGATGCAAAAGAACACACTTACCCCACAAACACAAAGAGAACATTGGCGTTTCTCCTTCTTTAATTACTGAGCTCACTCTCAAACACGCTAAAAATTGCGGCGACAGTACTGTAGCTCAGTTGGTAGAGCATTCGGTCCTAACGGTCTTGGGTTCAATCCCCCAACAAGACCTCCTCCACCGACTCCCTCTGATGCCTGCTGTCGTTGTGTTCCTGGCCAAGACCCCACTTTGACCCCACTTTGCCTGAAGCCCCCACTGAAGCATCAAGGTCTCACCAGGAGGATCAGTGAGGGACTGGTGCTCTGTCAATTAGGACATAGCAAATGAAAATGAGTCCGGCCGTCCACAAAAGACCAATATCCCACTGTGGCCCCAGAGATAATAGTTGGCCAACAAAAAAATTATTGCAATATCTGATTTTGAAGTCGTCTAAAACCAACACAAATAAACAAAGATGTCTGTCTGGAAGTAGTCAGACTGATGTAGGTCCTGGGGTGCTCTGTGGGGGTCCAGGGGTGCTGTATGTAGGTCTTGGGGTGCTGTATGTAGGTCTTGAGGTGCTGTATGTGGGTCCTGGGGTGCTGTATGTAGGTCTTGGGGTGCTGTATGTGGGTCTTGGGGTGCTGTGTGGGGGTCCTGGGGTGCTGAATGTAGGTCTTGGGTTGCTGTATGTGGGTCTTGGGGTGCTGTATGTAGGTCTTGAGGTGCTGTATGTGGGTCTTGGGGTGCTGTTGTAGGTATTGGGGTGCTGTATGTAGGTCTTGGGGTGCTGTATGTAGGTCTTGAGGTGCTGTATGTGGGTCCTGGGGTGCTGTATGTAGGTCTTGGGGTGCTGTATGTGGGTCTTGGGGTGCTGTGTGGGGGTCCTGGGGTGCTGAATGTAGGTCTTGGGTTGCTGTATGTGGGTCTTGGGGTGCTGTATGTAGGTCTTGAGGTGCTGTATGTGGGTCTTGGGGTGCTGTATGTAGGTATTGGGGTGCTGTATGTAGGTCTTGGGGTGCTGTATGTAGGTCTTGGGGTGCTGTATGTGAGTCTTGAGGTGCTGTATGTAGGTCTTGGGGTGCTGTATGTAGGTCTTGGGGTGCTGTATGTGGGTCTTGGGGTGCTGTGTGGGGGTCCTGGGGTGCTGAATGTAGGTCTTGGGTTGCTGTATGTGGGTCTTGGGGTGCTGTATGTGGGTCTTGGGGTGCTGTATGTAGGTCTTGGGGTGCTGTATGTAGGTCTTGGGGTGCTGTATGTAGGTCTTGGGGTGCTGTATGTAGGTCTTGGGGTGCTGTATGTAGGTCTTGGGGTGCTGTATGTAGGTCTTGAGGTGCTGTATGTGAGTCTTGGGGTGCTGTATGTAGGTCTTGGGGTGCTGTATGTAGGTCTTGAGGTGCTGTATGTGAGTCTTGGGGTGCTGTATGTAGGTCTTGGGGTGCTGTATGTAGGTCTTGGGGTGCTGTATGTAGGTCTTGGGGTGCTGTGTGGGGGTCCTGGGGTGCTCTGTGAGGTTGATCCTGCTCTGTGGAGTGGGTCATGTGACAGTGAGTGAGAGCTCCGGTGCTCAGGCTCTAGAGACGGTCTCTCTCTGACATTTGCAGATATGATATTCTGTGAGCCGCTAATCTGAGAGGATTACAGCAGGGACACGGCTCACGGTGGTCCAACAAACTGATGTGGGATTATTTAAAGTGACTGTCTGTAAATTCAAAGGCTTTTCCTCTGAATATGCAGGAAACAGCAGCAAATCCTAAGTAGCTTTGAGACAGTGCTTGCTTTGTTTCTAGCTGTAAATGTTGTTGGAGTAGAGTGTTCTCGGTTTTGAGATGTTTAAAGCTTGGGAAATCTTTTTGTATCCAAATCCGGCTTTAAACTTCTCCACAACAGTATCTCGGACCTGCCTGGTGTGTTCCTTTGTCTTCATGGTTCTCTCTGCTTTAAACAGAACCCTGAGACTATCAAAGAGCAGGTGCATTTATACGGAGACTTGATTACACTCTGGTGCATTCTATTTATCATCATCAGTCATTTAGGACAACATTGGATCATTCAAAGATCCTCACTGAACTTCTGGAGTGAGTTTGCTGCACTGAAAGTAAAGGGGCCGAATAATATTGCACGCCCCACTTTTCAGTTTTTTATTTGTTAAAAAAGTTTAAATCATCCAATAAATTTAGTTCCACTTCACGATTGTGTAGCCACTTGTTGTTGATTCATGAAAAAAAATAACATTTGTATATCTTTATGTTTGAAGACTGAAATGTGGCGAAATGTTGAAAGGTTCAAGGGGGCCGAATACTTTCGCAAGGCACTGTATATAGCACATTTTACAGACCAAGGTCACCCAAAGCGCTTTACAATGTTCAGAGTTCAGCTATTGTTCCAATCATTCCACACACGGTGATGACGAAAACCAGTCGCCGAACACACTGGACCATCAAAGCCTCCGACCAAACACCATCCATTCACTCACTCATTACATTCAGACCTATTGTGCTCCACTCAGAAAGGCCCTGGTCCGACCGGGATTCGAACCCAGGACTTTCTTGCAGAGAAGCGAGAGTGCTATCTACGTATGACTCTCTCTATATCTACCTATCTATCTATGGTAGAAACTGTCAAACTTCTGAATACAAAATACAACGCAACAAAAAGGGAACTGCTTTTCATGCTTTGAACCTTCTCTTCTCAAACACTCTCATTTGAATGACGTGTTTAAAGCGCAGTGAGCAGTGGCCCCCAGCCCCGGCCCCCAGCCCGGCCCTCCTCTTAATGGCTCACATTAGCTGAGGGCCATAAAACGATCCGGGGCCCTCACTCAGCCAGCTGTAATCACTTACCCGAGCCTTCCCTCTCTCCCGAGCTTCACCCTAATTCACTGTTATTAATGATGAATAAAAACGCAATTTTCTTTTCCGCGTTTGTGGGAATCGTTTGGATGAATATTTCAACGCGTTATTTCAATCCATCTGCGGAGCGCGTACGTGTGTGTGTTGGCTTTAATGGTCCTCCACCGCCGCGGGACCCCAGCCCATGAAACCCCACGCTGTCTGCTCCAGGTCTATGCAGCGCTGATTTACAAGACTTGTTAAAAAACACAATAAAAAGAAAGCCCAAAAAATGCTGCGAGCGAAGCCATTTGCTTGTAACGTGACGCTGGATTTGTAAACGCGAGTGTGGGGGATTTATGCGTCTCTGCGGGGGGGGCGTGTGTCAAGGCTGTTCTCGGAGTGTGTTTGGACCCGTGAAGGGGTTTGTCGACTTGGGACAGCGGTGGGAAAGGTTACCGTGTTGATCGGACCTGTGTCAGTTTTTCACCAATGGGAGGACGGGAACGTGTCAAAATGAAGGGTCAAAACAAACTTCAGCAGTGCATCCATGACCAGAGGGAATCACACTGGACTGGACTATTCTTGAGTTTCATTAAACTGGCCAGTAGGGGGCGTATGAGCAGAGATGTACAACTCAGTGTTGCTCCCATTGAAAACCATGTAAAGTTGGTTTACTTTACATGGAGTCAAAGGCTCTCCTCCTGTGCGGTTGTTGGAACAGTCTTAATCGGGGACACTCAATTCTAAGGGAGGACTAAAAATGTTTCTCAAAAAGGGCATTTTTAAAAAGAAAAACAGAAGAAATGGCTGCGTTTCATTGCGGTGGCCTGCAGGGGGCGCTAATCTGGGAAAGCCTCGATCCACCTCGCCCGCCTCATTCCAGTGATTTTTTTCAAAGTGTCCTCCTTTATATGAGACACAGTTGGAACATGAACAAACTCTTTTCTTTTTCTCTATTTGTGCGGTTGCTACAAGCGTTCACCGCACACAAAGATGCTTCTTCTTCTACTATATCTCTGTGTATAAACCACTTCTTCTACTATATCTCCGTGTATAAACCGATTCTTCTTCTACTATATCTCCGTGTATAAACCGATTCTTCTTCTACTATATCTCCGTGTATAAACCACTTCTTCTTCTACTATATCTCCGTGTATAAACCCGGCAGACTGCACCGCCAGGATACGTCACGTCCTATCCTACGTTTGTTATTCACGCCACTGCCCTGACGTCATATGAAACCCAAGAATAGATAGAAAGGTTACTGTGTTTTTTGGACCCGTGTCAGCTTTTCACCACAGGGAAGACGGGAACGTGTCAAAATGTAAGGGTCAAAACAAACTTCAGCAGAGCATCCACGATCAGAGGGAATCACACTGGACTGGACTGGACTGGACTATAGATAGATTCATGGACATTAGTCTCTGCTCCTTTTGGACCAATGGCTCTTAAGTGTTTTTGTATCATTGTATGTCTTGTGTTTGAACTGTTGGATTCTCTGATCTGTGTTGGTAAAGCAGAGAGGGGCTGAGGAGCTTGGTCACAGGGAGGAGCTCGGAGTAGAGCCGCTGCTTCTCCACATCCAGAGAACCCAGGATTTGTTGGGGGGACTTTGTCAGCTGGACGGAAAAGCGCGTGGACGGGGAAGTCTGCTGCCCCCGACATGCTCTCAAAATTGGCCTCACATTACATCAAATTGTATAAATATAAAAGTTTAATCACAGAGGCCATAACTCTACTTCAACCAGAAGCAAACACCATGCACTTTGGAATCATTGCCTGGTCATTAGCGCATTTTAGCGTATGTTGAATCCCGCAGTATTTTCGCCGCAACGTTTGACCCGACAACCCCAACACAAACGCCTCAAATTAGCATAACCGTTGTGGATGTGTGCCGCTAGCTCTGGAAATCCCTGAACACGACTGCCACACGCTGAGCAGACCAGTCCAACATTCCATAAAAGCAGCGCGCGGACGTTAGCATCTAGCAGAACGCCGGCTAATTGACGTCTTTATGAGCAGAGTTATTTACGAGCGCAGTGAGCTGAACATGACACGTCCACTTTATTTGACTGTTTTACGTCCATCTCAGCACATATTCAGAGCTAAATGAGTTCCCAGCGTCCTCATTGGCTCGTATACAAGGCCCTAAACGTGTGGCCATTTTGTCTAATGTCATGCAACACCAAGTTTAACAGAGACCAGCGCGGGGATATTAACCACCGCGGGGAGAGGCCTTTCATCCCCAAAAGCCTTTTCTTTTCTCAGCTTTCGTTTCTGCTGCAGAGACGTGGGACTGGGACGTGCTGCGACAAAACCGGGGCCACTAACGGTGCTTTGGAAATCCATACGAGCAGCTGTGACGGAGAAATACCATGAAGAATTGGCTTGAAGTGATGAAAGATGCTAGCTTGTGTGGCGTGGTTAACCATGCTAACCCACATAGCAAACACAGGAGTCATTTATTCTTTCAAACTTCATCCGGGCATATACATATATAATGGATTACATTTTGTAGAGTTGTTTTAGAGTTATTTCTTTCCGATGCAGGAGGCTCTGAAGACAGTGGTGATGACCCAGGACACTTCGAGTTCAACCACATTTAAAGGATATTGGTCTCTGCCCCTAATAATAATGGGGCAGACACGGTGGTGATAAACTTCTACAGTTGCCAAAGCTGCCCTGAGGCACACCAGACTCATTCTAATGTGGGGGAAGTGTCTTGCCTAAGGACACAGCCACAGTTTGGCACGTTACAGCCGCAGCCGCCCCACTGTGGCCCCTGCTGTTTCCAGAGGTTAAGTGTCTTGCCAAGGAAAGTCTTGTGGTGGACTCGAGCCCACAACCTTCAGGCCAACGCTCTACCAACTGAGCCACTGTCGCCCCTTATGGACCAATGGCTCTATGTGTTTTTAATATGTTTTTCTTGTGTTTGAACGGTTTGATTCTCTGATCTGTTTTGGTGAGTTCGACAGCTTTGTAAAGTCCTAACTACAGTTGTGATTCAGGGCAATACAAAAATAAATGGAAAATAACTGTTATTTGAGCAGTTTAAGCTCTTTTGATTGTATGAACAGTGGGTTTGAGAGATGTCTTTAGTGGGCATAAGATCATATAGTTGTCTCCTATTGGCCGTTCAGCCGGAAGGTTGTGGGTTTGAGCCCACCACGAGACGCTCTCCACCGACACCACTGATATCTACTGTCGTTGTGTCCTTGGCGAAGACACATGACCCACTTTGCCAATAAGAAGCACAGAAGTAATGTTCGCTGCCTTGATGTGATATGTGTGTATTCATCAAACTGAAACTTCCCCATTGTGGGAAGAATGAATGACCTTCTTCTCTTCATTCCTAATGGCCTTGCTCTGTATCTATAGCACGGCCCAAATGCAGAAGTTGCCCGACACCAGCAGAGCATCAGGCCAGAGCCGGGCCACCCCCAGGAAGAGTCAAAGAAACACTTAGAACCTGCTTCCAAGTCCTTCCTCGTCCGGATCCTCAGACTTCACTGACAACGTTTCAAACACAACAAAAGCACACAGTAACAGAGTCTAATGAGGATGATCCATTATCAGGATACAGTGTTTTAAATGAATCTTTAAGAACGGGGATAATGAAGGACAGACACTGGGCCAATATAAAGGTAAAGGTGCACTTTATTGATCCCCGTAGGGTAATTGATCCTCTGCATTTGACCCATCCTGATCAGGAGCAGTGGTCGCCATAGTAACAGCGCCCGGGAACCCATCTCCAGATGTTGATGCTCGGCTTGGTCAGGACCAGAGCTGGAGGATTTACAGTATTTGAAAACACATGATAACTTGATACTTTAAGGATTTAGGGACGTTTTCCCACAATATTTAAAAAAATGCGTCTGGAAATATTCTTTGACTGCACCTTTAAATGCCTAAAGTGTCTATATTTTCCACGGTTTACGTGTGTGACAAAATAATGTGTTTTCTTCTTAAGCCTCGTTCCTCCGACCTCCGCTTAGAGGTGATCTAATGATACAATTGTGATGTTTCTTTTGGTTTCTTTGTCATCTGTGAATCCAACATGAATCTCTGCCGGGGTCCTCTCCTCTCTGATCAAACAGTGTTGTCTACAAAGCTCTGTATTTCGTCTGCTGATTGATAGAATAGTTCTCGCAGCCCGGGACTAAAATTACACTTATTAAAGCTGATGAATTAAAGCTAGTGATGTCCGATGTGCAGTGGACATGTTTATTGCCTAAGTGTGGACTATTCCAGGCCGAACCGAGTGTGTGGGTGCCATAGACTGTGAATACTAACATAGAATGGACACGGGCAGCCCCTCCCTCCAGAAAATATGAAATAACGCACGAGTCCCATTGCATTCAAAAGTCCAAAGTGGCTAAACTAGACTGGTCCAAAAACAATCCTCCCCTCAGCATTGACAGCAACTGTAACGTAGCGTTGGACCAAGAACCACTTTAGGACCAAGAGCCACTTTTGGACCAAGAACCAATTTTGGACCAAGAGCAACTTTTGGACCAAGAGCCACTTTTGGACCAAGAGCCACTTTTGGACCAAGAACCATTTTTGGACCAAGAACCACTTTAGGACCAAGAGCCACTTTTGGACCAAGAGCCACTTTTGGACCAAGAGCCACTTTTGGACCAAGAACCATTTTTGGACCAAGAACCACTTTAGGACCAAGAGCCACTTTTGGACCAAGAGCCACTTTTGGACCAAGAACCACTTTTGGACCAAGAACCATTTTTGGACCAAGAACCACTTTTGGACCAAAAACCACTTATGGACCAAGAACTATTTTTGGACCAAGAACCACTTTTGGACCAAGAGCCACTTTTGGACCAAGAACCACTTTTGGACCAAGAACCACTTTCGGACCAAGAGCACCTTTTGGACCAAAAACCACTCATGGACCAAGAACTATTTTTGGACCAAGAACCACTTTTGGACCAAGAGCCACTTTTGGACCAAGAACCACTTTTGGACCAAGAGCCACTTTTGGACCAAGAACCACTTTTGGACCAAGAACCACTTTTGGACCAAGAGCAACTTTTGGACCAAGAGCCACTTTTGGACCAAGAGCCACTTTTGGACCAAGAGCCACTTTTGGACCAAGAACCACTTTAGGACCAAGAGCCACTTTTGGACCAAGAACCATTTTTGGACCAAGAACCACCTTAGGACCAAGAACCACTTTTGGACCAAGACCCACTTTTGGACCAAGAGCCACTTTAGGACCAAGAGCCACTTTTGGACCAAGAACCATTTTTGGACCAAGAACCACTTTAGGACCAAGAACCACTTTTGGACCAAGACCCACTTTTGGACCAAGAGCCACTTTTGGACCAAGAACCTCTTTTGGACCAAGAACCTCTTTTGGACTATCCTCCGTATTCTAGAGAAAAGAAGACGTCATCAGAATTTGATATTTCTGTTTCCGGGTACACCCCCACCAGCTGGGTCTCAGATTAGACCCTTTAGAGCCAGAACCCGCCTGGGTGGGTACAAGCCGGTGGCAGACCCTCCAAGTTTCACCTTCACTACAAAGAACACGTTTTAAAAGTGACAGAAGCGTCCTGTGGCTTTGGAGACAACAGCACGGCCTAAAACCGCCTTAAACACTTGGATCAATATTACCCCGGCTTCCATTTCATGCTTGCCCGCTCCCAATCAGTGCGATCCGGGGCCGGAGCATCGCTAACAGGGCAGGTCATCAGGGCCAGCAGGGGGCCGGAGAAGTGCGGACTCAGCTGTCAGGAGGCTAACTGAGCCGGACCAGACTGAGCCGGAGCAGGGAGCAGAGAGTTTAACCTCCGCCACACATGTCCACAGAGGAGCCCTGTCTGAGGACCTGTGCTTAACACTCACACAGCAGTCAATTTGACAGTTTAGGAAGAGTAGAGTACATTTGTGGCTTTCATAACTTTTTTCTGTTTCTATTTGTAGTTTATTTCTGTCATTATTGATTTTTTAATGTGAGTTCTACCTTTAGCTCCATTTTCGGGTTCCTTCCTAAACGCAACTGTTTTTAACCTGGTTCTAAGCATTGATCACAGAAGAACTTTTACTTCTACAGCAGTTAAAGGTTCTGGTTCTGTATGCTGGTTACCATGGCAACACATCGTTTCCTGCCAGAAGTTAGCGTTTAGCATTGGCAAAAAAAAACGGTTTATTAAACATGTGATGAGTAAAGATTAATATATTATAAATGACTTACTTTGAATAATCTGGAGAAGGGTTTTTTTGGGGGAAATGTCTCAGAGTCGTTTGGAGTTAGAGCAGTCAAAGTGACGGCTCTGAGGGTCCAGTAGTGTCAGAATTGTGGGAGTTCTGGTGTTAAAGCTGCAGGGATTTAGTGTGCCCCAGGGCGGATGTGGCTACAGTAGTAGTTTATCACCACCGCGTTTGGAGTGAATGAATAACGACATTTGGAGAGACTTTGAGAGTCCAGAAAAGCGCTAGATAAAACCAATGGATTATTATTATGATTATTATTTTTATCATGGGTCCCACATAAACATGACAACATTGAGTGTATGTTGTGTTGAGGCATAAACAAAGCTATAACCGCCGTCTTTCATTCTCCCTCCGAGCCCAGTGTTCAGAGACAGTGAGGCGCTAAAACATTTGTCAGAAGTATAAATATCAGCTGTCACCATCTTCCTCCTGTAGAGTCTGTGATGAGGACGAGGCTGTCAGAGCTGAACCCACACTCACTACTTTGTTTCATTTCTCTCTTGTATTTTGAGTCTATGAAGCCGTGAGCGCCTCCAGCTGTCATTATCAGCCGTCATTATCAGCCGTCATTATCAGCCGTCATTATCAGCCGTCAAATGACGATTCCAGGGACTGTTTTAGAATATTCTCACCACTGGTTGTTTTGGTTTTAACTTGGTGTAAAAAAGCTCTTTTCAGCTCCATACATGCAGCCTGTCCACTCTAAAGACTGTTAGTTACTAGTGTAGAGGGCCATATGAACTCTGAGGAGCACAGGGACTGGCCTCCTGCTGGGACTCTGAGGAGCACAGGGACTGGCCTCCTGCTGGGACTCTGAGGAGCACAGGGACTGGCCTCCTGCTGGGACTCTGAGGAGCACAGGGACTGGCCTCCTGCTGGGACTCTGAGGAGCACAGGGACTGGCCTCCTGCTGGGACTCTGAGGAGCACAGGAACTGGCCTCCTGCTGGGACTCTGAGGAGCACAGGGACTTGCCTCCTGCTGGTCCCAGAGTCAGGACTAAATATGAGGATGCCATCCATCCCATTATCTTCCGCTTCATCCATTGCCCGGTCGTGAGGGCAGCAGTCTAAGCAGGAACGCCTAGTCTTTCCTATCCAGCTCCTCCCGTGTGAC